CCATTGTTGAATACAAATTAGAAGCTTTGTAAATTCCAGTTTTGTTGAATATGATTCATCTGCCAAGAAACCAAATTAGAGACTTAATTTCATTCATGTGTTGTAATGTAAGAGAATGGTTAAACTTTATATACATGTTACAATGGAACAAAGGATTTTAGCCAATTTCATTGTTTTACATTTGGCATTTGTTCTTGTGAAGCTCTAATTTGTTTGAGGAGTTTTAGTTTTCTCGATTGAATTCGTAATTAGAAAGTATTCGATTTATCGGATTATCTGATATGGAAACAAACTGATGAGAATCTGAAGCATTTTTGCGCAAAATTAGCTCTTCTTGAGGAATAGAATCATATAGAAAGAAGCTTATTTCAGCTAGATGGCTTAGAGTTAATGTGACTATATAACCGATACTTGCTTTTCGATTGTATATACATGGTAGATATCCACATTTGACGGTACCATATATATTTAGTCGCAAGGATTAATCAATTAAAGGAGTCACAAAACTATCACTCTTTTGTTTATTTATTACATTCGCTTTACCAGCAGCGATTCAATTCAGTTTTATGGAGCCTGTAATGCTCATCTTATTGGTAAATTATCTTGCTGACTCGTGATTGTGTTCAAATGCAGCGCCGGAGATAGTTGAGAAGCCCGGTGATACTTCATTGTCGAAGCTAAAAAATTTGTACATTCAAGCGAAAGAGCTTTCCGAAAGTGAAGTAACGTAAGCCAGATTTCTCCATCTTTTCCTTACAAATGATACATTAAATAGTAAACAAGTTTGAATTGGTTAATGACACAGTTGTTTATATGCCAAAAGAAATCCTCTGAACTTATTTTGTTTTTAGAACACTAATCTTCAAAGCTTTTTGTTTAACGCAGTGTTTCAAACATTCTGCTTACTCAGTTGGATTCCCTGCTTCCATCTGGACCAACAGGGCAACAACGTAGAAAAATAGGTATACTTCGATTACCAATTAGACCTTCGGGATACTCCTGTAATGTTTATTCATTGGGCTACATATTTTTCTTGTGAGAAACAAAAGGCTTTTTATCTTTTAAATCTCCAACCTCTCCAATGATTTGATATATATGTATAAGAGGGATTAAGATTTTCCGATGCTTGTAATGATATCACATAAGTGGCAGAAGGCAACGAACAGAAGAGAAAGAGAATGAAAGTAGATTCAGATGTAACAAGAGTTTCTCCTTCCATGAGACATCAAATCGAAGCATATGCCAGTCTAAAGGGTGAACAGGTACTACTTCTTTCTTTGAGTTGAATCGCTTGTTACCTCTAGAAAGGGAAAATCTTTGTGACATCTGTTTTATGTAGGTTGCTGCAAGAGTCACAGCCGAGGATGCCGATAAGGATGAATGGTTTGTGGTGAAAGTTATTCACTTCGACAGAGAAACAAAAGAGTAAGCTTGAATCCTTTTATTAAGAATCCCACGTTGGTTAGGAGAGGGAACAATTGTTGTTATCACGTTTATGTATAAATTTGTGCTAAAAGAGAGATTTTGAGAACTTCTTATGAATCTGATTGTCAGTAGTCAAATATTCATTCATAATATATTCTGATTAAACTGGTAGACAGCCGTTATGATGCAATTATGGTATATATTTTTCTCTATAATGGATTCATATATGGGTCTTAAAAAAATGTTTTAAACTTTATTCACAGAGTTGAAGTACTTGATGAAGAACCAGGAGATGATGAAGAAGGAGGTGGCCAGAGGTAATTACGGCTCTTTTATGAAAAACTCAAACTTTTGCAGTGACATTGAGTAACTTGCTGATTATTCTCTTGTAGGACCTATAAACTATCAATGTCGTGTATTTTACCGTTTCCAAAAAGGAATGATCCTTCAAACACACAAGAGTTTCAACCAGGGAAACCTGTCTTAGCTGTATATCCAGGAACCACCGCGCTTTACAAGGCGACTGTAATAAGTACTCCACGAAAGGTTAGTTTTTTACTTTCCGCATCATTTCAAGCTCGTTTCAACAGTGTAAAAGAAAACAAACTAACCTCTAGATATTCAAACCTGCATGTTGCACATCCGACTCCAGAGGAAGTCTGATGAGTAAGTTCCTCTACACCTTTGTTCATATCTGAAACTATTCAAGCATTTTTGGTTTTTTGTTAAAATTTAAGAATCACAAGTGCTTAATTATGATAGAACTTCTGATCACGCCAGGTACTTGCTAGAATTCGATGACGATGAAGAAGATGGAGCATTACCTCAAAGAACAGTGCCTTTTCACAAAGTGGTAGCATTACCAGAAGGCCATCGCCAGTGATTTCAGATGCTTACATTGAAATAAGAGACCCTTCCTGTTTGTTTATTGGAGGCCAAATCAAAGTTGAAAGTTGTTGCCTTTGTTTGTGTTCAAAGGAAATGACTGAGAAGAATAAAAAAGTACGTCCTTTTTTCCCCTAGTCAAGTTGCGGCAAAGCTACTCTAGTTTAACGTAATGTTTGAATGTGTCCATTGGTACTTGTATCATGTTGAGACACAATGTTAACACACAAAGGGAACTTTTTTCTGTTTGTATGAAATTTACATTTTTTAAGATTGGTGATATAGTTGAAAACGGTAAAGAATGTGAAAAGAAAATGAAAGTTTTAAGAAGAAGATGGAGAGATTGGGAAACAAGAGTTGCTTAGCTAATCGCCTATGGTGCAAAAACGTGATGAGTTGGGAAAGTATGGATTCGGGATAGATCTATACGTTCGAGCGATAAGAAAGCACGATGAGTATGTACGTGCATTAAGTAAACACAGAGTTTTTTCACAAAGTTTAGTTCTCTCTACATCTCTAAGATCTAGCTCAAAACAAATGCACAAAAACAAGATTGTAACTAT